ATATATATATATATATATATATATATATATATATATTATTTGTAAAAAGTTATAAAACGTTCTGCTTAATAAAATAGAAATTACGTATAATGTATAAATTATTATGATTATTATTATTATTATTATTCTCAATCACGTCTATTATTTTGCAAAATTCCGTTTTAGAATTACGTCGAAAATTAAATACGAAACAACGATGCGCAAGTTATGACGCATGTTGTATTGTTAGTGCAAATTTTTGACGGAAATTTCTCATCGCATTTTTCAACGATATTCCAAAGACGACGTCATTTTATTGTCAGTTTTGCGACACGGCGCTTTTCCTCTATCGGCGTTGCTTTTATTTAAAAAGGAAAATAAAAAAAGGAGAGAGAAAAGGAAGAAGGGTGAAGGCTTTAGGTCCGCCCCATACCAAGACTTTGCGTCGCCCTCATAAACTTCGAAAACATTTCTTATAAACGGCGGATGTTCCGCGGGGGTGAAATTCCTGACGGGTCTTATCATGGCAGAGATTTACTCGCAAGGACGGTGAGGTATAAAGTATTAAAATATCACGCGAATGGCGCATTCGGAAATAGAGACGTTGCTCGCGCAATATGAGGATTTTCTCTTTTACGGAATCGCCTCGCGGTAAGCGACTCTAAATTATTCGTTTCCTTATTTCCTACGAACTTTTATCATACGATTCTTACTTACTCTCTTTTCCTCTTTTACTTTTTCTTTGTAAATTTAATTTGTGATTTTATTTACTGTTATAACGTGCAAATATGTAAAATTAAATTTATATAAAGTAATTGGCGAAAACGAAGTAAAGAACAAGTAAGAATTACAATATAAAATCTATTATATATTTTCAACTACCTACAAATTCTTTAGTAATTCTAACGATAATTCTTAATTTTAAAATTATTAAAATCTGATATTGCAATTTATGGAAAATAATAATATTAAAAATTTTAAAGTTTCTTACATAGTAATTATTATATCGAAAAAAATTTCGTTAGAATAAAAAAAATATCTCTCGTTTGATAATAAAAGATTCCATTTGATAACGGAAATTTGTAAATCGAAAGAATCACGGTAAAGTCTTTGATACTTCACTCCTTCGATTTCACATGAAGATAGATTGATAGAACATAGTCCTGAATGACGCATCTTCGCGGATGTGCAAGAATGTTTGCGTCTACTCTTATTGTATCCGATCGTGTGCAAACGAGGACAAAGCAACGACGGAAGAAGACGCAGGGGAGATACAACGAAGCAAGGCAGTGTGAAAGGGGTCGAAAGGGGTGGTAGGAAGCTACTAAAGGGAGAAGGGCGAAAGGAGAAGGGAAGTGAGCGCGTACCTCACCTGGCATACCGGGAGAGTATCGCGACACATTTTGATCGAATTCTTCTCGAGGTCGGGGAATGCCGGTATCTCCCGTAGATATTATTACATATTTAGGCGGTACGCGGCTGGCAGTCACTCTCTCTCTCTCTCCCTCTCTCTCTCTCTCTCTCTCTCTCTCTCTCTCTCTCATCTTTCTCTATCTTTCTCTCTCCCTTTTCGCCTCGGAGATGTAATACACTTAGAAACGTATTCTCGTTCATTTTCTCTTATTCTCTCTCTCTCTCTCTCTCTCTCTCTCTCTCTCTCTCTCGACGCGGCGCCGCGGGGCGTACATATCTGGCTCACTATACTTGCGCCACTGCTGTATCCTCATAGCTCTCTCGCTCTCCTCGCACAGACCTCGAAGGATCGCAGTTCTGCGCGATATCCTGCATATCTCGGCATACCGTCCCCGTCGTTTCCGACATTGTTCCCTCGACCCGCCCCCGCACGGTTCCCCGGCTCCGAACCCGGACGCGGAATAATCCCACTCGTTCGACGTCTACCGGGCCCGGCTTCCCGGCCGGATTCCAGTCGATTCTGGTACCGAGCTTGTGCAGGGTGAGAAGCCCCGGCATCGGGCATGATAATTGGATGCTTTTCCGCTCACTCACCCTTCTACCCCGCACCGCCCTTCTATCCTATTCCCGAAAAAGCGCGATAAAGAAACGCGTATAGGGGCTCTTGTTGACAGAAACCTTGAAAAAGCGCGTTACTGGGTACAAGATAGTATACAAGGAGAGTGGATGCTGAGAGAACGATCTGTATTCTGCGAGAATCCACAAATACAGATGTTAGAAAAATTGTCGTATAATATAAAAGAATATAACTTTAAATTGTTCAATAATTGTTAAATAAAAAATATTTTTAGCACATTACAGTAATTATTTATTATTAAATTAAGTATTCTATTTGCAGCTAATATCTATAGTAAATAATTAAATAATACTAGTTTACAAAAGGAAAGTATAAATTTTTTTAATTACTTTGAACCAGACATGATATTTGTCATAAATTTTTGGATAACAAAAACGATGCCGCAAGCTAAATTTTACTAACACATCAAGTTTCTGAAATTTATTGTGCAAGCAAAAATGGCTCATGAGTAATATTTGATTTTTTTTGTAAAAAAAAGTTTAATATTATCTTGAAATGTTGAATCAGAAGTTATCTCTTTTTTTTTTACAAAAAATGTCAAATATTGCAAAAAAGCTATTTTTTCGCACATTAAATTTCAATTATTTTGGAAACCTAATATGCTGGTAAAATTTGGCTTGCGGCTTTGTCGTTTTCATCCAAAATCTATATGAAACATTTTGTCCGGTACAAAGTAATTTTTTGTTGTAAACTATTAGGTGTTGGAATTAATTCGTAGCGTTTTTTAATGAAAGAATGTTATTTATTTCACATGAGCATTAAAAAATACATTAATGAAAGTACTTCCCATCACTTGTAAAACGCTACGAATTAATTCCAACACCTAATAATATAATCAAAATAGTAAATAATTATACAAAAAATGCATAACATAATTCATAAATAAAAAAATGTTACTAATAAATAGAAATCTAACAAATTATTTGAACAAGAATTGTTTCTTCATAAATTTTTCATGAACGTAAATATTCTGTAAATATATACATTTTTCTTTTTGATTCTATTAAACAAAGAAAGCCGTTTAATGTTTATTTCTACAAATGTAGATTAACTTTAATCTTGGTTTAATTTATTTTTCGTCTTTTTCTAATTATTAGAATTATAAAAAGATAAAAAGTAAGTTAAATCGAGATTAAAGTTAACTTACCTTGATACAAAAATAAACATAAAAGACGCGCAAGTCATAAATATTTGCAACTTATCAAAATTAGCCTGTAACGAGAAAATAACGCGATTTACAACAAACATTTTCCGAAGCATCGTGTGTGTCCATTACGCGTTCACGTTGATAGCCCGGTCGAAATGCGTTTGTTGAATATTCAATGTCTGTATTCAATGTCCAGTATTCGACTCCCGGCGGACGACAACCATAAGCACTATAGATTCTATTAGCAAACAGTCACGAGAACAATGGTTCGTCGTCGATGCGATTCCGTCGATATACAAGCAGAGAGTCGATGATCGAGCCCGATAAATGCCGGCCACCTTCCTTCGGCACATTTCACGGCGAACGTCCCGGGATACTATTCGCATATCTAAATCCCATAGAACGTCCCTGTCCGTACAATTCCCAGAATTGTTACCAGTCCGCAGGACCACTTGCTGCTACACTCCTTCGTGCATGACCGACCCTTAATTCGTCAAGAACGCCATTTCACATCGTCGTACGTGAGCGAACAATGTCAAATCCATGATGTAACGATATCTATATTTCATGATCAAATCATGTTCCAAAACATTTGAAATACGTTTTATGTTCTTTAACCTTCAGCCATTATGTGCTCAAGTCAAATTTGTGACCTGAATCTCTCTCTCTCTCTCGATATTTAAAAAACTACGCGCCATATTACTAATCAGCTTATTACTTCTGTTCAAATTCAAAATTTCACATGTTTGTTTTCTTGATGAATTATATGTCTAATGTTTACAAGTTAATTTATTGCAGCATTAAGAATACAATATATCTGTACGGGCAAATACCTAGTGAGAAATGACAATAGAATTGATATCGAATCGATGTCAATTCGACATCGATTCCATTGTCATTTCTCACAGGATGGTTGCCTGCTGTACAATGTCAACATTATTCATTGTGCAGACTTTGCTCATTTTTAAATTTCGTCTAGAATATTTAAATCGTCTGTTTAACAAAATGTTACATTCCGTGAAATGTTTATAGGATTATCGCCAAGACAGAATAGGTCTGAAAGGTGTTCTATTTGACAATCGAAAATCTGAAAATACCAACTGTATATAGAATGCACGAGAACACGTTCGACATCGACGAAGATTTCTTCGACGCATTAGCACTGTTGCATTCGACAGAGCAAGACAGTGCGGAGAAGCTTCGTCGGATGCTGGACGCCTGCATTGAAAAGAAGCACGGCCTCGAAAAGACTTTGGCTGTCAGAATGCCGAAGCGATTTTTGCAAAACGTCGACGAATTCGCCCATCCGATTTATACCTCGAAGAGTCACGATCACGTAACGCAAGGATATAGTACGATAAAAACCGAGATCTGGGACGGTAATCTTGAGATCATTTCTTTTCTTGAAGCTGACGAAGCGGAGAACATTAGGAATCACCGGAAGTCCGACGTAAAAATATTCGAGGTCGATTACGAGGGCTGCTGCGAGGACGAAGAAGACATTCCTAGGATCTCCATTCCCGACGAAGGATCCGCCGACGGGACTGTATGCAAGGTTTTCTTCAATTAAACCCGGCCACTTAATAATTTATAGCTTAAATGCAAAATGCGCGAGAATGATGTGACTGTGTGTGACTAATTATCTTCGAAAGTCGCCGTGTTGTTGACTTAAATGAATTGTGACATCTGTGCCATGTAAACTCCAAGATCTGTAACGGCGCGAAACTGGGACCTTTGATTTTGCTCGAGTGCCAGGAGTGTCAAGAAGCTTATCATCCGCTGTGCCATCAACCTCCGGTCATCGATGTCGATGTTTACGACCCTAGAATCGTGTGGCGATGCAAACGATGTGTCAAAACGCCATCGGTGTCTCCTATGAAGGTTAAAATTATGGAAAAAAGGCACGTGAAGAAAATTCCACGAAATAGTGATATTTTCAAAAAGAATGCAAACATTTCGAAACTGAGAATACCTGGGAAAAGGGACGATGATTTCTTTGGGAAGAATGGTAAGGTTTGGAAAGGACAAATATTGACTTTAATCTTTTTCCTAAATGTCTTAATTACCTATGCGTCTTCTTGTAAAGTATTAGGTGTTGGAATTAATTCGTAGCGTTTTACAAGTGATGGGAAGTACTTTCATTAATGTATTTTTTAATGCTCATGTGAAATAAATAACATTCTTTCATTAAAAAACGCTACGAATTAATTCCAACACCTAATATTTCTATAGTTTTTTCAAATTTGAATATATTGTGCAAGAGAGAGAGAGAGAGAGAGAGAGAGAGAGAGAGAGAGAGAGAGAGAGAGAGAGAGAGAGAGTGTGTGTGTGTGTGTGTGTGTGTGTGTGTGTAATATATGATAGAACTATTGTATTGTGTACTAGATACAATAAAAGTTGGAAAATTTATGTGAAATTTAATATTTCACGAGTGCTACGTTTAATTAATGACACAATTTGTGTTAATTTAATATAATACGAATATATTAGGAAATTATACAAATATTATAAAAACATTTTCTTATTTAACATTAAGACAAATTCAATATTAATTAACAAATATTAGATTCAAATAGTACAACCATATTATTATATTAAATTAACACTCAGATGTGTTAAAAATTCAGCTGAAAGTATTAATATAAACTACTTTTTATAATAAATCGTATTTCAAAAGCACATTTCTACTTCTATTCCTCTCCTTGTTAGAGAAAACTACCAAAAAGGATTTTTAATATTTTTGTCTTAGTAAAATCAACTCCGAATTAGTAAACAAATATTCTAAGATTTACGTTTTGTATGTTAAATGTGTTTTAAACAAATCATTTAAATATTAAAATCTTTAATATAAAAATCATCTAGTTATTGATAAGTAAGCTTTTACGCAAAAGTAGACCAGCCTATTTAGTGGCATTAAGCGCATACAGATAAATGTTAAAATCCACTTTTCTAGTTTGATCGAATATTTTAATATAAAAAGTAATATATGA